CGGGGCGCCTTGGTGGCTTAGTCGGTTAAGCGTCCGACTTTCGCTTAGGTCATGATCTCGCGGTTCGTGGGTTCGAGCCCCGCGTCGGGCTCTGTGCTGACTGCCAGCTCAGAGCCTGGAGGCTGTTTCAGTCTGTGACTCCCTCTCTCTCTGACCCTCCCCTGCTCACGCTGTCTCTCTCTCTCTCTCCTAGAAATAAATAAAAATATTTAAAAAAATAATAATTAAGAAAAATAAAACTCACTTTAAATAAAATGCCAAAAACGAAGACCACTGGAAATGCTGAAGTCCCACGGGACACACGAGGAAGCAAGCACACTCCACACCGGTGCATCCACTCACTATTTCCCTGAGGACTCAAGAACCCCAGAAGATCGTGAGACTGGCCACATATGGACATTTTCCAGACCTTTCCTGCTCCCACGCCTGGGTCCGCAGGTGCGGTCAGGTGTGCCGGCCCTCGCACCGCCGCCCGGGGAGGAGGAGGGCCCTGGGGGAGCCCAGCGCACCTGTTACGGGCCAGGCGTTGCACCGGAACATGAAACCGGTGGTCCACTTGTTAATCTCATGTAACGAAGAGGGAAAGAGAGGCTCTGAGGAGCAGCGTTCAGCTAGGAGGTGACTGGCCTGAGACCCGACCCCGGGTCCGCACGACACCAAGACTGCGCGGTGTCAGGAGCGCGCGAGCCTCAGGCTTCTCCCCGTCAGCATCTCCATCTTGCTGAGAAGCACGGCCAACACGTGCGGTGACCAGGAAGCCACGCCCTGGGACGGACCCGCGGGAACATCCACGGCAAGGCCTGAGCAGGGTTGAGTCGGGTCCCTCCCCCTTCCCTGTGGCCTGTGGCAAACCTCTGCCCTTCTCCAGCCTCCTGGTATCTAATTCTGTTGCTCCAGAAAGCAGGGCCCGGCCCAAAGCGTGGGAATTACCGGGGGCCGGGTTGTGCTTTGCAAAGCGTAACGCGCCGGCAACCGGCCGGGCCAGCTCCAGAGGTGCTGGTGCCCAACGGGCGCCCGGACAGCCACAGCGGGCAGAGGGCCAGGCCAGGCGCCCCAAAGCCTGGGGACCGAGAGGGTGGGCAGCCCGCAGGGTCTGGGGCCCCCGCAGATACTGGGTGGCCACCTTGGGCCCCTCTGTGCATCAACCCCGGTGTGACGTGCAGACCCCCATGCTTTCTGTGCGTGCCAGGGTGGGACGAGGTGAGGAGAGGCCGGACCAGACGGACAACAGGTAAATGCCTCCCACCCCCGAACTCCGCGGTGCTCTCACACTTACCTGGTCGGTTCCTGGGACTTCATGAGATGCTCCCGCAGGATCAAGATTGTGGTGGAGAAAAGCGAGTGGAGTCTATCCCCCCTTCCATCTGCACAGGACCCTGAGGGGTTCTGGAGCCTCCCTGGACCGAGAGGCCGGCAGCCGGTTTCTAACCTGCCCCCAACACACACTGACTCCCTCTTCTGGCTTCAGGTCACCTCCCGTGCTGCCCAGGGCCCCCTGTCGTCACCGCCCAGCACTGCGTATCCGCATGGTCCACGCCCAAAGGAAAACCGCCATCAGAGCAGAGCCGCACTGGCCCTTCTCCGCCGAGGCCCCTCTCTGCGGTCTCTGCCTGGCACAGTCATTCGAGCAGAGAGACAAAGCATCGTCTGGTACTGTGACCCCGGGGAACACTGGCACCGCGGGCATCTCAGGACCTCGGCCAAGGGGGAGACTGCGGGCCTGGGGGCTTCGCGCCCTTCGCTGGCCCAGCCCTGCAGGGCTGTCCTCCTGGGCCGTGGGCAGCCCAGCAGCCCCTTTCCTCCTCTGTGTTCAGTCCCGGGGCTGGGGTCCGGCAGCCTCGCATCCGCTGCTTGTCCTCATCCTCCGGTCCTCGGGCCCATCTCAGGAGAAAATGCAGGGCCAGCCTAAAGGTCACGGGCAGGCCGGGCACTCTGTTAACCTTGCAGAGCTTGGTGTCGCCTGTAGCATGGACAGAGTAAGGACAGTGCCTTCCTTCCCAGGGTGCTGTGGGTTTTAAATGAGCGAGTATGTGTAAGAGTTTAGGACAGTGGCTGGCCCAAGGTGACATTACACAAGTGACAACAATCAGGGTGTTTGTGATGATGGTGACACTACACAGTAATGATGATGGTGACGATGGTGACGGTGACAATGGTGACGATGGTGACGATGGTGACGGTGACTGTTGATAATGGGAATGACAGTGAGGGTGACAGGTCACAATGATCATCAGTGCCCTCATCTGCCAGGGTCACAATAGAACTGGGAACCTTAACTGCCTCGCTCTTTGTTCTAAAGCCGTTCCATCTCCTCACAGGAGGCAGCAGGCAGCCTAATAGGAGGGAACTTGGTTTCTTGGCTTCTTGCCTTTTTAATAAGCTGAAAATCCTGAGAGTGACGATGCCAAGGCCTCGGACAGACCCTGTCACAGGCCACTCATTTGGTTTCATCTCCTAAAATAGACACTGGATTTGGTAGTCTCATCTCCAATAAATTGATCTGAAAGAGCAAAGCAAGCAATCCTTAAATCCCCATGATCTTGCAAGCCACACAAAGAAAAAAATCCTCTTGATGGAAATCTTGCTTCCTTTTTCTGCCTCCCCTACAAGTCACCTTGTGCTGGTGTCAGGAAAGTCCAAATAGGCATCTTCCTGGAGGACTCTGGGCACCCAGGAAGGGCCCCAATCCCTGGTGCCTGAAATGCCTGAGGAAGGACAAGGCTCTCTCCCTCCACCCCAAAGAGGAACACCTACAAAACCGATCCAGAAGACCCATGCATACGCATGTACACACACCTGCAGATGTGCACACACACGTGCTCACACACATGCCCCTGCACATCTCTGCATACACGCATAAGCACACACACACACACACACACACACACACATCCATCCCTCCTGCATATTCTGTACCCCAGCGGCCAGGCCTCCAAGGAGCGGATTGGGAGTGAGGGCACACGCTTAAGGCCAGAGGGGCCCACTGGGCAGAAGGCACCAGAAGCGGGCTCAGGGACCCCACCTGAAGGCCTGCTTGCCATGCTCATGAACACCTCTGCAAAGCCACCAGGCAGGCAGGCCAAGCTTTGGGCATGCTTCCCTTAGAGCAGAATAAGAAGCTGCTCCAAGACTAAAGAGCTGATGGCACAGCCCTCGACCCTTGCTTCCCACCTTGACCGTCTCGGAGGTGAACCCCCTCCCCACCAGTGGCCACCACGCAGTGTCTGGTGAGCTCCCCGAATGCTGTGCCCTCAGCGAGCTGCATGGGAGACGTGTGTGCAGACACTGCCCAGCCTCACGCCCAGAGAGGAAGCCAGGGCTAGGCTGACAGATGGTCACACTTCCAAGAAACGCTTCAGGCGGCCGCACATCCGGCAGATTCTCTTGAGGACCAGCATGCGTCTGGCTCAGAACACGGGAAGGAAAGGCATGGTGAGCCAGTGTGCACTAGGGGAAAGAACCGGCCACGGTGCTGGTGACCTGCACCTAATGGCAACCTTGTCTATGGTTTGTTTGATAACCTTGGGCATGACACTCAAGTCTTCCAAGGCCTCAGTTTGCTCATCTGCAAAATGGCACCATAATAATATGTGCATCACAGGGTGTCTGTAATGATTAAAGGGAATAATGCCTGTAAACGTGTTGCATGAGCAGAGGGTATGCCATGGACATCTGCTACTGTTACGATATGTTTTTATAGTGTTCAGAACAGCTTTCAACCCTGCCCGTCTGCCCATCTTGTCTTTTCTATTCTAGGAATGGGTGAAGGGTACAGACGGAAGATTCTGAATTTCAGGTGAACTAATGGGAAGCTAAGAAGAAGTAGAAGGACATGGGCTGGATAGTGCTGGGCAGGGGGGCCAGGGGGCAGACTGGCACAGTCACTCTGAAGAGCACTCAAGGCAGCTGGCCTGGGGAGGGTTGGCCCCTCACAGCCGGGTGAGCGGGACCACGGTCTCATCCACAAAGAGGAGCGTGGTGGCTCCCGCTCCATGAGCTCCAATACAGATTCACAGACACATGAAGCTGGAGAGGACTATCTGACGTGATCGGCGCCCGGTTAGTACCGGCTTATTCTCAGGGAAGCTCATCCCTGGGGACCGCAGCAAGGCAGGGGTGAGTGTGAGCATACGACGGCCCTATTCAGTTTTTCAAACGCACTCGGCATATTTGTGTCAGACTTGGTCTTCCTTGTGACTGGGACTGCCACATAAAATTTAGGTTGTCAAGTGATTTCAGAGAAACAAATTATTTTGATATAAGTATATCCCACGCAATATTTGGGGCATACTTATACTAAAAAAAAAAAAAAAAAACCCTTATTGTATATTTGAAATTTGAGTTTAACTGGGCACTCTTTATTTTTATTTACTAAATATGGCAATCTTACCTGTGCTGGAAGCAAGCTTGTGGCAGAAATGGAGCTTAAAACCAGAGCCCAGAGGAAACCAGCAATAAGGGCTTTTACTGGAAATTGTGACCAAGATTCGCTCTGGTCTTCAAAACCTGAAGTGTGTGAGGTGGGTACCCTGCTTCCTGAAAACAATTGTGTGAAACGTGTGTGTCCACTTCAGAGGTTGAATGTAAATCTTCATGGAGACTGGCAAGGATCCTGCCAGAAGGCTGATCCTAGAAATAGTCTCATATCAATGCAGAGGCACAAACAATTGAGTTGTCCAACAAGCTCAGGTGATTGCAATGCCCTCCCCAAAGGGACGCGGGGCAGGCACTGAGATCCATGGTGACCCCACAGAGTGATCTCGAACCACGCTCCCGAAGTTAATACAGGCTAAAGGGGAAGCAGGTTCTAAACAGAAGGTCGTGAGCGGTCAATTTTGTACAGAGATGCATCGTTCAAAAAGCATCTGGAAGACTAAGTCAAATGTTCGTGGCGATTTCTTGGGCAGGTACAGTTACAACTTCTCTTGGTTTTCTTCTTTTTCTCACCATGAACTTTCTGATTTTTTAAATGAGCATCTAAGGTCAGCGCAACAAGAGGAAAAGGTTTATTTAAAAATAAAACATCGTCAGCAGGCGCTCCACACTCTGGATTCCCACTCGGGGCCATGCCGTCGCCTGGCACACGCCATTCCCGGCACACACCGTGCCCTCGCCCCTTCAGGCCCTCCTCCTCATCCGGTATTGCTGGAAAAGCCTCTCCTGCTGCAGGCTCCCGCGCTTGCTTCCCACCAGGCTCGTGTCTCATAGCACCTAGAAGGGTGCTTCACAAAAGGTAAAACCTATGAAAATATGTGTGATTTCTCCAATCGCTTTGTAGAGAGAAACGCGTGAGCCTGCAGGTGCGGCCACTAACCCGGGTCATTCCTGCAGGGAGTGAGGCGAATACGATGCCTGGTCTCGGGAAAGCCATCGTTCAGCTGGGCCAACACGCAAGCAAGCAGATGCCCAGCAAACCTGAGCGCTCAGGAGGCAGCCTTGGACGCCACGCTTTTATCTCTCCCTTTATTTAGTCTTCATTTAATAAGTATCTCTTGAATCCAGGCACTGCTCTAGGTCCATGGGAAGCAGAGGCAACTTTGCAAGCAGATGGCCAGGTGGCCGCTGAGCCAGGAGGTAACATTTGAGCAAAAGTGGTGACGTGGAGCCAAGACTTGGGTGATGAGCTCGGGTCTGTCCAAGAAATTGCTGGGGGAAGAGGGTTCCTAACAAAGAGAAGAGCAGGTGCAAAAGCCCTGGGGCACCACTTAGGTTTGGCTTGTTGGTGGAACAGGAAGGTAATCGACGGGGCGGGAGGAGAGAAAGCGAAGCAGGACTCAACCAGGTCGTCTGGAGGGAGACGCAGGGAGCGGCCAGCTTGGCTGCCCACCGAGTGTGTGTTCTCTTGTCCTGAACGTCCCAGTGTATGACATCCGAGCCTGGGAATCCTTAATGTAATCTAACCCACTTACTGTACAGATGACAAAATCAAAGCCCAGAGAGGGTGCGTTGCCCCCAAGATCACACGAGCCCCCACCTGGCAGCCCAATTCTTTTATTTGTGTCACCCCTTCTCCTGCCACCTGCCACGTGCCTGCCCGCAGGTGTCCCTCCTCGGCCCGCAGCTCACGCACAGGGCCTCCCCGGCCCCAGGCGTGCTGGCCCTCGGTCAGAAGAGAGCAGACCCCCTCGCTGCACGTGGACGTCCCCCTCGTGCAGAGCACCCACCCTTCCCTGGCTTCTCTCGCTCAGTCTGTTCCAGTGCAAGGTAAAATTACAGGTGAGCGCCTTGTTAATGTTATGGAAGGTAACTATAATTTTAAAAACTCACAAGGTCAAATTTCCACAAATTAATTAGGTAATTTGTTTCTTCAAGGGCCCCCATCATGAATTATCCATTAAATAAAGATCTGGTGCATTTAATATTCTCATGCACCATCAAGCCGTAGCCGTAAATTGATGATAATTACACATAAATACAGTACAACGCGTAGTGCTCTTATTCCCAGGGTCCGACATAATTTTCAAACTCCATTGAGATTAGTCAGCCACACAAGACTCCCACCCGTTTTCCTGATGGGAAAACTGAGGGCAGAAGAATTATTTGCGTGAGAAACATGCCTTTTGGACTACTCATGATACCCAAATACTTTGCTTACTGACATACAGATACTAACGATGGGTGCCGGGTATTAAGGAGGGCACTTGTGATGAGCACGGTGGTACGCGAACGTGATGAATCGCTACAGTCTGCTCCGGAAACCAAAACTACACTGTACGTTAACTAACTAAGATTTAAATAAAAACTTGAAACAAACAAGTAAAAATACTAACGCGTGCTTACCGTGCGCTCGCGTGAAGGACCTGAGGGATAAGCCAGGTCTTTGTCCCCATCTGCGGGGCTCGCAGCCCAGGTTTTGATTTCCAGCCATCACTCATCTCTGTTTACTTGGTTCTTAGAAAATGAAGATGTTCAGATGGGAAAACGCCACTCGGAAAGTCTTCATTGGACACCGATGGCCTTTCTGAACTTCCACGACTGAAGCCGTCGGCAGGAGCTATTTTCAGATGGGGAAGGAAATTTAGGAATATTACAGACAATGGAGATGGAAGGAAATTTTCAAGCCAGGCTGGAATGTTTAATGAGAAGGGAACAAACCTTTCATTCTGCATTATATCTCGCTGATTTAAGGTGTTAGGAAATTTTTTTCAGGAGGAAGAGCTCTATTCTAAATGAGTCAACGTTTGCAGTCGTGTGTGTGCGTGTGTGTGCGTGCGTGCGTGTGTGTGATTTATTGTCAAGTTAGCCAATGTACAGTGTGTACGGTGTGCTCTTGGCTTCTGGAATAGATTCCCATGATTCATCACTTACACACAACACTCAGTGCTCATCCCAGGAGGTGCCCTCCTCAGTGCCCATCACCCATTTTCCCCTCCTCCCATAACCCTCAGTTTTTTCTAATTAATTTAGATTTTTAGGCCCACCTTCCTCAGAGCCTGCCTGGGACTTGGAGTCAGTCCAAACGTGCTTTGACCCCTCAGCACTCTACTGCTGGTGTGACTTTTGGTGAATTACCTAATATTTTCAGACTGTTATTTGACCATAGCAGGCACCCTGCAGGGATGCTATGAAGGATAAAAGGAGTGAACAGAACACATACAAACCCTCAAGAAAGGCCCCAAACCTTCCTGACTTAATGCATCTCCAAGAGCCTAGACAGAGAGTGGCTCTGATGCCCTCGGGCGCCATCTTGCTCCGTGACCCCGCCTTCTGCAGCCGCTACCCACAAATACGAGTGACGACAGTGCTCACAAGTGGATTAAAGCAGATGGGTCCCCACTCCCAGGATTCAGAAACACCTATTTAGAAAAGAAGAGGAAGGAGGAGCTGGGGGAGGGGGAGGTGGGGGAGGAAGAGGAGGAGAAGAAGAAGAGGAAGAGGAAGAAGAAGAAGAAGAAGAAGAAGAGCACAGTCCCTGGGAGCGGACGACCTTGGAAGACCAGCGGCCGTGACTCTTCTATGATGCACAGTCTCATTGCTGCTGATGCTCATGAGAAGTGGGAAAAAAATTCTCTTACCCTCAGTTCCCACTTCATGAGAGGACGCCCCTTCCCGGTGGGCACGGCGGCGAGGCCTGCTCTCTCCCCGGTGCAGGAGCAGAGCGCTGGAGTTCACCTTGTTCCTTAATCGCTGCAGATTGTGGTTTTTAATCCTTTAGATGGGGAAATTCGCAAAACTGTTGCGAAGGATTAATGAGATAATATTTGTAAAGTGATTGGAGATAATCCAATGAAAAGCACATATAAATACCGAGATTACTATTAAGTCTCTACGGAATAATAAACTGTAATGACATGCCTGCGGTAATCTATACTTAATTATGTAATTGTCTACTACCCAGAAGGTGTGCACTCGCACAGATGAGTAAATTGCATCGTATGGCATTCGTTCCGTGAGGTCACTGGTCATTAAAATATAATCACGTCCCATTAAAAAATAAAGATTTCTGTTTTTACTCCTTCCCAATAATTGCTGATACATGCACGTGGTAAGGTGTGGACTCATTGACGTTTTCAGCGAGAGAGAGGGTCCAGAGGAGCCCAGCACTGTCTCCACCAGCCCATCCCCTAACTGTGGGAGCCCCGGAGAGGCAGCAGGCGCGTCCCGTCCCAGGGGCTGACCCCCGAGCTGGGCAGACGTGACTAACGCGTGAAGAACACCCAATGACGGGAGACGGAGCACAATTAACTGCTCTCCTGCAGCATGAACTTGGGCGCCTGGACCAGGGAAGTTGCCGACGTGGCTTGAGGAGGTCAGAGACTTCACGTTCACGACCCAAAGCCTTCACCCGCAGCCACAGCCTGTGAACCTTCGTGGACAAGTGAGCTGGTGAAGGAATGAACGAGGCCCTGATAAACCCAAAGGAGAGGGGACTCCAGGGGCCCTGGAAAGGGGGAGGGGTGACAGAGCCAACAAAGCCCCAAGGACCCCCGGGTGCTGGTCTCTGAGTAAGGAAACGGGTTTGGACGCCTTGAAGGCTGACGTGACGCCCTTAGAAGTCCTCTGGTCTTTGAGTCTTTGAGTGCCACACCCCTTGGGGAGCTGCTGAGGCCAGCAGGGGACGGGTCTGAAGCCCCGGATGTGCTGGCCTCCGGCCCTAACCCTCGGGGGACCTTCGGGGAGGCGTCAACCAGCTCAGGCCTCCGGTGGGAGCAGGAAAATCTGTCTCATCTCCTCCCCCACCTCCCGCAGCACCCAGGTCGGTCTGGAACAACTTGCAAACACAAGCTGCCTCAGAATAAAGAAGGGCCTCACGAGGGCGAACGCAGGGCAGCAGTGTGTGGGCCGACCGTGCGCAGGTCGCGTCGGCTCTCCTCGCCCTAGGGTCTTCTTCCGCGAGGCGGGACCGTTGGCCCCCACCCCAGTCCCTGAGTGTGACCAGCGGTCCCGCCTGGGCCTCTCGACTCCAGCGCTGAGGCAGAGCTGCGGCCCGGAACCCACAGCGGTGACCCGTAGCTGATGCAGCCGGCGGGCTGCAGACCCCCGGCCAGGAGTGTGCAGGGGCCCCTCCGGTGGGCCCCACGGCCCGAAGCCGCCATCCCCCAGTTGTCCAGACCATCTGCTGGCCTCCTCCGCACGGCGGTGGCCGTTTGTAAGAGGCCTCATCCGCTCTGCCCACGGCCGCGTTCCCAGCAGGCCGCAGGCCCCGCCTGGTCCAGGGACGAGGCTGCTTCCACTTTCAGACACTTTCAACCTTCCCCTGGAAGGTTGCAGGGTCGCTCGCCAGGGTCCGCTTCTGACTGTGCTCCGAAAGTGAGCGAGGACAACCGAAATCTGATTTTTCCCTCCGGAAGTGTGGCCCTGCTTCTCCCGCTTTCCTCCGGCTTCTGCCGGGTCCCCGGCTGGGCCGGTCCTTCCTCCAGGCCCCCACTGCCGCGGACCTACTGCGTGCAGACGAGGTCACACACACGCTCGGGGTGTTCTGCTCAGTGACGCTCGGTGAGCCAAGTCTCTCAATATTCTGGTCCCTAAAATGCTAGCAAGATCACAGTGGGCCGGTTTAGATTCTTGGCTCCCCTAAAGAATGCAGAAAATCTTCCGGAATTCCCCAGGTCGAGGGGCCTGTGGAATGATGAGACCAAGATATCTTCTGATAATGGGAGCACCCTAGCACCGGAGAACACAGCTTTCTCTCCCCGCCCACTGACGCGGCACCGAAGCAGGCCCCCCCGGCACCCAGAGTCTTCCCCGAAAGCCCTCGCCCCGCACGTCGAACCCCTGGCTTAACAGCAGGGGTCGGGCTCGCTTGCGACTCCACAGCCCGGGACGAAGGACGCGCCTGTCTGGGTCTCACCTTCCTCGCTGAAGACTCACCAGACGCCCTTCACCCGAGGAGGAGTGATTCTTCAGAGAAACGGGGTGTGGGTCTGAGAGTCGCCCCACCGGAAACAGCTCTCTCTAGGGCCTCGGACCCTCAGCCAGAGACACCCAGTGAGAGACCCAGTTCAGGTCCTTCTGCCTCTTTCCTCAGGCCGGCCTTTAAATGTCTTTGTTACATCGGTGTTCATTTTATCACAGCTCGTACGGGGAAAGCCACCGCCAACCACAGATGGGCACAGCTCCTCTTGCCCTTGACTGGGTGGGAGGGGCCTGGGTGCATTTCCGGGATTCTGGGTGCAATTAAACAAATCCTTTCCAATAGTATCAATGGGCGGTAGCCTTGGCCTCCCCTCCTGCACTGAGCAGCGAGCGCCTGTAACACGCGCTGGTGGATGGCGAGGTGGGACCCCCTCTCTCTGCCCTGCATCAGGTGCCTCCAGCCCTCCCCTCCTGCTCTGGGCCCCGCAGGCCGACTCTCGGAGCTGCACCCCCTCCTGGCTGGCGGGGAGCTTCGGCTCCGCGGAGTCCCGTGTCTGGTCTCCCAAACGATGTGGTGAGCTCGCTTACAGGTGTGTGTCATGTCCCTCCATACACATCACAGCTCCCAGCCCGGTGCTGGGCATGTGCACACGCATGTGCACACGCAGACACACAAGACACACACGCATGCACCTGCACACCTGCACACACAGACACAGACACATGCACCTGCATGCACACACACAGACACACACGCATGCACATGCACACACGCGCACACACAGATACACACGCATACACCTGTGCACACACAGACACACACGCATGCACCTGCACACATGCACACACACAGACACACATGCATGCACCTGCACACACACATGCACCTGCACACACGCACACACAGACACACACGCATGCACCTGCACACACATGCACCCGCACACACATATACATATGCATGCACAAACATACCTGCATGCATATGCACATGCAGATATGCACGTGCACACATACACACATGCACACACATACACATACACACATGCACGCACCTACACACTCACCATTACTTACGATAGTAAGATGGTCATTGAGTGGTTTTAAAACCTGCCCACCAAGTTTTTAACAGTTCTCCATTCAACGGTGAAGTTCAAGCCCCTTCCTTTGGAGCGCGGGCACAACCTAATGACTCATTTGTACACACAGACAACTGTGGAAGTATAGGTGTGTCACTTTCCAGACTCGGCACCAAACAGCCTTGAGGTTTCTTCTCTTGGATCACTTCCTGAAAGATGCATCTCAGGAGCCCACCAGCCAAGCCCTTCGAGGAGTCCTGTGCAGAGGGGCTGAGGCCCCGGGACACACAGCCGTGTGACAGACTTCTCAGGGGCCGCTCTTCCCGCCCCAGTCAAGCCTTCAGATGACCCTGGCCCTGGTCGACCTTCCTGACTGCAAGTCTGAGACCCTGAGCCAGAGCCACCCGCTGGGCCACTTCTGAAGGCTCGACTCTCAGAAATAGCGTGAGGTACTATAAAGTGCTTGTTGTTTTCAGCTAGTAAGTGTTCAGCTAACTGCTTACACAGAATACATAACTCATGCAGGCTCTGGGACAGGACAAAGCTCAGAGTCAGGTCTCTGTTTTCTCTGTTAATTGGAAATAGAAAAAAAGAAAGAACCTCTGACTGAGAAATCTACTGGCAATTGTAGCACCGATTTTACCATCTCTCCCTATCTTTATGGGTACGTAGGCGACATTATTTAGAGAGAAATCTGAGATTCACCTTTCTTCCTACCATTGCCAGGAGACTACTATGCCCTCAAACTGGGGAAAGATGATGTATCAGCAGAAGAAGTAAGAGAAGAGAGGAAGGGGTACGGACAGTGGTCCCACCGCACCCTGGCTCCTACAGTGTCTAGTGTAAGAGGATCCGTTCCTGGATCAGAGTGTGGAGCCTGCGTACCCCCAAAGGCTGCGGATGCAAGCATCTTCTAGCAAGCTCTCACCAAACACAAAATAGAGCTCAGCATTCTCAAAAGATCACGAGAGCCCCAGGGCTTGTCACCCTCTGGATGCAGGGCAGGCAAACTCTTTGTGTAAAAGGCCAGAAAATACATATTTTCAGCTTTGTAGGTCATGGGGTCAGTGCCTCAACTACTCAACATGTGGAGATACTAAAACCAATATTTAAGAGACAGGCAGCGTTGGCTAAGGAAGAAAAGAAGCAACAGTGACCGAAGAGGAAAGGCCTTTCCCCAGCTGGGCCTTGCAGGTGTGAGGCGGGGAGGGCACCGCTGTGGCAGCAGAAAGTCGGGCCCTGCATCAGAGCAGCGACAAGGGTCGTCACTGTCAGGAGACAGCTGTTGGCCGCAAGCCGGGAGGGGACATACACTGGGTGGCTTGTTGACAGCCAGGAGCCACGGATGGGAATCAACCTTTTGGGAAACAAGGGGCCATGAAAAGTGTCACTCGGAGGAAGAGATATTCAAGCCTGTGCGCTGGATGGAGGAAGGAGTGAGGAGTCTGAATGGGCAGCCATGGGGGGCAGGGGTGAGCGTCAGGAGGCACACGGGAGGCCCTCGGTGAGCCCCCAGAACACGAGCAGGGGAGTGGCTTAGAGCACCCCGCTGGGCTCCAGGCCGGCTCTGCAATGACACCGCCTCCAGGCTCCCCACCGGGAATGCACAGCCTCACACACTCAGGGGGCTTCCGAGCCACAGGAGGTGAAGCCTGGTGACCGCCGGGCATCCATCTGCACGCCCACCCCGTTCACCACCCCACCTCCCTCACGACGGGAAGAAGGGAAGTTAGCACACGGCCCGGACACCTTGTGCCATCCCATTAATCTCTTCGACCCCTAAATTTGGGTAAGTGGGGACCCCCGTCCTCATGGAGGCGCCGAGATGGAGGAGCTGGCGGAGTCACCCTCCTCCAGGTGACAGCGTCGTCATGCCTTCCTTCAGTGGACAGGTACCTGCGGGGTCAGCGCGCTCCGGGCCCCAGGCAGCAGCCGCCAGCAAAGTCCCACGTCCGTAGCGCTCCCTGCTCACGGGAGAAGCGGACGCGAATAAACGTGGTGGCCACTGTGGAGAAAGTGGGGCGTGGGTGACGTGACACACACTTGGTTGGTGGGTGAGAGGGCCGTGCAGGTCTCCGGGGAAGAACATTCCAGACACGCGACTCGGCTGGTGCAAGGGCCCCGGAGACAAGAGCACAGCCAGGTGGGGGGGGCAGGGGGTTACGAACACGGGTGCCAGAGACGAGGGAAGGACGGGAGGGGTCTGATGCCAGCGCGGCAAGGGGCACGATCACGCGGGACCCCGTGGGGGTTTTCCAGGGCCGCCATCACGGGGCAGCGCGTCCTGGGCAGCGTGGACAGCACAGTTTACACCCTCACACGTATCAGGGCGTCGCCCCGCCTGTGGACACCCGTCTTCTCCGCGTGCCTACTGGCTGTACGTCTGTCTCTGTGTCCTGACCTTCCCTTCTTGTAAGGAGCCCGTCATGCTGGGTCAGAGCCCACCCGTGTACCTCACCGCCCCTCCATCTCCAAATACGGTCCCAGCCTGAGGTCCTGAGGGCCGCACTTGAACGTGGGGATCTGGGGGACGTGGTTCAGCCCGGGGCAGGCCCCCGAAGCCATTGCAAGCCTCGTGCAGGGGGGAGGCGGTCTCTGCAGCTTGTGCAGGGGTGAAGCAGGTCGATGTGCTTCCGCAGAGGGGAGGCGGGTTACTGTGGCCCGCGCAGGGGGGAGGCGGTTGCTCGGCTCAGGGGGCTCCCGCTGCCCCCCCTTACTGGGCTGGTCCCCCCTCTGCAGAGCCGTTATCCCGGGAACAACCCCAAGCTCGAGTGTGAACAGGGTGAAAGCTCTCGGCTCCTCACAACTGCTGGGTGTGCTTCATTTTTAAGCCAAGTGTAAGGTTTCAAACACGCACACACACGCGGGAAGCCGCGGCAGCACCGTGTGGACCAGCGCGGGCTCCCCGTCGGAGCCACAGGCGGGGCGTGCCGTGGCCGGTGACCCCTGCCCACCCGCTCACCCAGCAGCCCGGGGCCTGCTGGCGTTCACAGCACTTCCCTTTGAACAATTAGAGCCACGGTGTCAGCAAATATGTGAATGACGCTAATTATCCATTAGCAAGTGACACTAATCAGCAGTGTGTCAACTGGCCGACCTGTGATGGGCGACAACTCGGTAGCGTCTCTGAGGTCTGTTTGGAGACGCAGGGCTGCTGGGGACGGAGTGTGAAGCTGAGGAAGTCCCCGGAGCCCCCTTGTTGACACGGACCCCGGGCGACGGGGAAGGAGCCGAGACCGCGGTGCGTTCCGGCTGCAGGGAGAGCAGGCGGGTCAGGCTCCTGAGGCAGAGGGGGACTCTCTCCTTGCACCATCAGTGTGAGCTCACGAGTAGGCGAGGCCATGCTCACAGACTCAGGATGCACCACGGGGCAAACACGGCAGAGGCCGGCTCCCCGCCCCCCCCCCCCGCCTCCCAGCAGCAGGGGCGACCCCGGGACTCGGCGGCTCCCTCACGGTCCTCTCCCTCCACAAGGCGTGTCCCCAGGTACGCCCCGTGGTGGGACAGAGGGGGACGGAGGACACCCCCTTTGTGACACAACAGTCCTGTCCCTGGGACTCCACGTGGGCTGCCCGGTGCCAGAGAGGCAGGGGCGGGGGCCGTGCGGTCCCACAACGCACCCAGGCACGGGAGCAAAGCCAGCCTCTGCACACGCACTGCCCGGGGGACATGGCTACGCCCTTGCCTTCAGATGGAGTTCAGGGCACCTTGGTCCCTGCACACCGAAGAGCAGACTAAGCAGTTGTAGGGTCTGCGTGCTGACTCTCGGGGAGCCTCTGACCAGCATCCCTCTGCTTGCCCGTGGAGCACCAAGCAGTGAGTCACAGCTCTGCCACCCCCAGCCCTGAGGCCTCTACTGTCACCCTCACAGGGCGCAGCACCTCCCAGGTAAAGCACTCTGTGGGCACGAAGTGTCACCCGCCACAGGGGCTGCTGGGCAGGTGACAGAGGGTCTGCTGGGGCTCGGAAGCCAGTTTCACAGGCCTCTCACCCCTTACAGACTCACTACCTGAGTCACCCCTAAATTTAAGGCCTTACTCAGGTGGCCTCGGGCCCTGATAAAAGTGGGGTCCTGGACAGGTGTCACTGTCGCCCGTTTCCCTCCTCCACTTCCCTGCCCGCCGGACCCCCTTTCTCAGGTGACAGCCTCGTAAGCGGCAGGTTCCTTCTAGAAAATAGCAGCTGATGATGTGCTGGTGGAGAAGGTCGGGAAATGAAACCTGGGTCTGAGAAAGGCCGAGGACAGTGGCCCTGGCCGTGTGGGGAGGACCCGGGGCGGACACGCCGCTGCCGCCCCCCAGGGCCGCTGGGTGATGCCTGCCCCCACAGGTGTGGGGGCTCAGCACCCCTGCTCCCTCCCACCCGCACCCTTGGGCTCACTGACCCCTCAGCCCAACTCTGCGTGCAGGGCGCCACGCGCACCCCATTTCCAGGGAAGAGGGCGGAGCACGGACAAATACAGTGACTTCCCACGGCACACGGGCGAGTGGCCAGCCCAGGATGTGAGCCCCGGAACCTGGCGGTGCAGCCCCCACCGTCTGGTACAGTTGGGCCCCCCCACGGTCTCTGATGCCCCCCGTCCCCTCCGGGCTTCGGCCGTGCCTGGGTGGCACAAACAGCCTTAACCAATGTCTCTGCGGTGGCCTCTGCCCTCTGCCGCCCATCACCGTCTGTCCGGAACTTTCCGACACCAGGGGCACCAGAACCAGCACTCAGATGGCTGTAACAGCAGAAGGCGGACAGCGGCGAGCAGTGGCTGCAAACACAGCCCGGGGAGCCGCCGTTACGAGCCCTGGCCCAGCCCCCCCTCGCTCGGGGACACGAGGGGCCGCCTCCCTGTGGGCCGCCCGCCACCACGCTTCCCCAGCTGATCCACAGTGTGGGCTTCTGCGCTTCTGTTCAAAGTCACCTCCTTCCCACGGTACCTCCTGCTGATTCGCTCTGGAGTCTGGACGCGGGTCAGCAGCGCCCGCCCCACACCCGGCCGGGCGACGCGGTGTCTTCCCCACACGGTGCGTCACAGCCCTGCGGGCTCGGAACCACCCGCATTTGCCTCGGGCCGTTCTGAACAGGAAAGGGCACAAGAGAGCACAAAACGTGGCCCAGAAACGGGCACAAAACGAGTGCTGTTTCAGCGTGAGGCTGCACAAGAATGCGGAGCGTCCCCTGCTGTGACGTCAGCCGGACGCCTGCTGGCCGGTGTCCCCATCCGCCGCTCGGGGCACGTGCTTGCAGGACAGCAGAAGCACCCGGTGCCTGGACTTAAATCCCTGGAGTCACGGGCAGGTTTTGGACGGCAGGGAAATTCGCAAATGCGCATGGGTGGACAGTGAGGACTTAGGTGTTGAGGGCAGGAAGGTGGGGGAAGGCGGGGACTTGGGAGGGGCCCAGAGGGAGGGGGCGGGAGGGGAGGCTGGGGGGAGGGGAGGCTGGGGGGGGAGGCCAGCGGGGCAGATAGGAGGCTCTGAGCAGGCGAGCGGCGCAGGTGAACACACCCTGCAAACCAGACCCCCCACCGTCAGACCCCACCCCCACCCCTCGGGGCTGTGCCCATCCGTGTCCCTGACACCAGCTGCCTGTCCCCTCCGTGTTCCCTCTGCTCCCCCCTCCCCCGGCCCCGCCCGAGAAGGCCCTGCACCCGGGATGATGCAGTGGCTCAGAGCGGCCGGTCCGGGTGGGAACTCAAGCCCTAAGGAGATGGGACCCCATGTCCCCCAAGCATACCACGAGGCCACACACCGCCTCACCAGTCACCCTGCCCGAGCCAGGGTCTGGACCCCTCAGCACGGTGCTGCCCCCAACCTTCCTCCACCCGCACCAGCGCGGCTCCGGGAAGCTCCCTTCCCGCCCCTCTTTCCCTTCCTGAACGTGCTCACGTTCTGGACCCTTCTGACTGACTGACTATCCCGTAAACCACATCAAGCGTGGCAGCCCCGGGGCAAAACGCCAGCTGGCCGGGGGAGCGTCCTGACCCTGTGGCCTGGCTCTGGGCTGCCCACCCCGCGGGCCCGTGAGCCTTGTCCTCAGGGCCTGCACAGGCGCCCGGCAGGTGTCTTCCCAGCTGGGAAGCTGAGGCCCAGGGAAGGTGAGGAACATTCCCGAGGTCACACAGCGAGGCGCACCTCCCCTAACCCCCGCGTGGCAGCCCGGGAGCCCCAGGCCTCGGGCCAGCGTCCTGCGCCCCCCTCGGGTCTCGTCACTCCCCCGCCGCCCCTCTGTGTCCCCGGGAGCCCGGACGGCAACCCTGCAGTGCGTAGCGGCCTGGCTGGCAGACGGGACCAGACACCCAAGGGGAGCGTCCCCACCAGTCACACGTCCCTGCCCCAGCCCACTGGGCTCTCGCCAGGCGCCCACGTGCCGGGCACTGTGGACGGAGCAGCCGCAAAAGAGAAACAGGAGGGGACGGAGGGAGGAGGGAGGCGGCGAGCAGCGAGCGCACGAACAGGAGGGACGTGAGGGCACAGGGCCAGCGGCCCGCAGGGCACCCCCTCGCCCCGGGTGGGGGGCTCCGCTGACCCCCGAGCAGGCTGTCTGCGGAAAGGGCCAGAATCCCCCTTCTTGCCTCCCCTTAACCCTCCCTTTCCCTCCCCTCCCCTTTACACTCCCCTCCCCCTCCTCTTCCTTTCTCTTCCCTCCTCCTTCCCTCCCCCTCCCTCCCCTCCCCTTTATACTCTTCTCTCCCTCCCTTCCCTCCTCTCCCCTGTCACCTGCCCCTCCCCTCCCCCTTCTCCTTCCCTTCCCCCTCCCTTCCCTCCCCTCCCCCTTTATACTCTCATCCCCTCCTTTCCCTCCTCTCCCCTCTCCACCTTCCCCTTCCCCCCTCCTTCCCCTCCCCTTCTCGTCCCTCCTCCTTCCCCTCCCCCTCCCCTCCCTCCCTTCCCCTCCCCCTCCTCCTTCCCTCGCTCCTCCCTTTCTCTAAAACACTGTAGCTCAAGGCAGAAAGAAGGGGTAGAAGACATTTGGCAAACTATCTGGGTGAGAATAAGGAGTTAATGTTTTCAAAATTCAAGAGGAGCAAAGTAGATGGAGAAAATGAGCTCTCAGGACACTTCCTACCCTGCAAGGTCAAAGCCAGATGGGTCATTAAAGAACGTATTAATCTTGGTGTTGCTGCTTGACACCCTGTGGCACGTCAGGAAACTTCTGAGGAGCTATAATTGTACAATCCAATACTGCAAGGACAGGGCGGAAGCCACCCGTTCCCGGATCCTCCCTGCGCCAGTTCCGGGCGTTTTTATAACCGACCGAGTCCCCGGCAGAAGGGCCATGACTCGGGTCCCCATCTGTGGACAGGCGTTTGGAGAACCCTCTAGAATGGGGCCTCTGCTGGGAGCACATCGTGCCCGGGGGGCTCGCCACGCAGGTGCAGACAGGAAAACAGGAAGGGCAGCACTGCTGTCCCTAAAAAGGGACCCAGGTGACAGGCAGTTGATGCTGAAGACCCTGGAAGCCACACAGGTGGACCGGCCCCCAGCCCCACTGCCCTCACTCAGCCGGCTCCTTACTCTGCCGTCACTGCCCCAGCCGTAGACCCCAGGTGAGACCCTGGGGGGGGGGGGGAGGAAGCAGTGGACAGAGCGAGAGCGCTGAGGGTGCTGAGGCTGAGTCCTGGGCTGAGCGAGCCCGCGGTGGGTCAGCACCTTCTCCCCGAGTGTCAGCGTGGCCGGGGCTTGCTGTGGCCGCTGTGTGGTGACCCGTGAGCCCAGAGCAGGGACCCCACCACTCCTCCGACTCCCCGACCTGAGGGGCCCGGGAAGTCATCAGTACGTGACAGCGTGCCTCCCGCCCATGGCCCAGCCCCCCACAGAGAGATGTGGACTCCAGCACCCTGCGCTCGGAGCCACTGTCGTCTGCAAAGGCACCGTCCCCGTTCTGCCCTTTGGGGCCTCTGGGTCTCCCCTTGCTGTTTGGTTCCTGGTTTTCAACCCACACAGGAGGCTGACCCCCCTTACCGCCGCCCCTCCCCCCTTCTCCACAGCGTGGGCCCCTGGTCATTTGTCGACCACTTTTCTCCTCTCACCAGACATAAGGATTGTCGTCTATTCTGTTGACTGCCTGGACCCCCATTACCCATCGCCACACCTGCAGCACGGAAGGTGCTGGTAAATACTTCCATGCGTGAAAGAGCGGGGTCAGCAACCCGCCAAGAAACCATCCGAAGCCCCTTTCCCGTCGTCCTGTTTGAAGCAAGAGGCGTCCCCACCAACCCCGGGTGCCAGGAGACACAGGGACCTGCCCGGGGCACTTGCTAGCTGCCCCTCCCCCACCTGTCAGCCCCCCACCCCTGAGACCCCGCCCACACCCCCACGCCCCATGCCCCACGCCCTCACCCCCACCCCTGCCCACACCCACACCATCCCCCGCACCCCACACCCACACCTCTGCCCCACTGGCCTATGGTCTGCTGTCAACAGGTGACATCAGTCAGGATCCCACAGGTGCCATGGGTCACAGGCTTCAGTCGGCCACCCCGGCCTTCAGAGAGTCCACGGCCTGCACAGCATCACTCCCTGGGGGCTGGGCGTCCTTCCCCCACCAAAGGCCCCAGTGAGGATGGCCCTCAGCCAGGAGCCCTGGACCCAGCCGGGCAGCTGGGTTTTCACCTACTCTCTGACCCCCACGAGCTGATGACACGCAGGAAGCAGCCACTGTCCCACACGTGGCTGACCTGCCACCAGGTCACCTTCACTGCTTGTTTCCCTGCAGCCACGAAAGTCACAAAAGGGGTCCCTATGCCTGAGAGGCGCTCCCCCGGGAGCCGCCAGTTGTGAGCAGGCTCAAATCCTTGAGATGCAGGAACATTCCGGCGTCTGTCGGCCCGGAGAACGCAGCTGGACAAGAAGGCTTTGGCGGATGAGCAAACCAGGACCCATCGGGACCAGCAGCTGCGCACAAAACCACAGCAGGGTGGGAATTTGCGTCCAGCTGCAGCGTGCCCTCCCGGCCAGGAACCCCCCTCAAGCCGCTGGCTTGGGAGTCCAGGCCACCCCACCCATCCCGTCCCCTGCCTGCTGGGCACTCGGGCCCGTAACCTGGGGGTGGAGACAGTTGTTATCTGTCTCATGCCCCCACCTGCGGCCCCGCTGCCCACGGAAGGCCAGCGCCCCCGTCCCCCCACGGCGTTTCCAGCCCGCGAGGACCCCGGTGCCCGCCTTCTCTCCACTGGGGTCCCCGCCGCCCCACGGCTGGGTCCTCTTGTGCCCAGCAGCTGCCTCTCACTTCAGGACTTCAGCAGAAGGCCGCCAGGGCCGCCAGGAAGGTCAGGGGGCCCAGTCCTCCCCCCGGAGCCGCAGCTCACCAGCGGGGGGTCTCACCCCGATCCCCGCGCCCCCCGACGCGTGCCGGAGCGTGCCTCGGGGTCAGCAGAGCCGTTGCCCGGCCGCCACGCCCTCCCCACGGCACACAGCATTCTCCGCGTGGTTGGAGGCCCGCTCGTATCGACCCGGCGCACTTCTGACTCCTACAGGTTTTGACCAGGACAGACAGCAAAGCCGGGTATTGAGAAAAGCTGGCACTTGGGGCTCCATTGTCCCGGGCGCACGTGGGCTTCCGTGCCCAGACTTCCCTCTCCTGAAGGTCAGCAAGCAATGTGACTGAGCAGGGCAGGCAGGGGGTGAGCAAGCCCTTGGGAAATGAAAATCCTTCTGTTGTCCGGCCCGGAAGGTCAGCAGTTGCCATTTGAGACCGCCTGGGCGCAGGAAGTCCACCCCCACGAAGGTGACAGCGTCAGGGGCAGGAGTCAGCACCGCGGCAGTGGCCAGCAGCGGCCCACCATCCCAGCGCAAACAAACGCCATTGTGATCCGGACGCACTGGGCAATAAAGCGGTGCTTGTTTGAAAGGCCAGCACACAGCCGGCCGAGAGGAGAGGTGGCCCACAGCACCGCGCCAGGCACTCGCCTCAGGAGAGCTGCCAGCCTCACCCCACATCCCCGCGCCGTTCCGTGCGGCCGGTTCTCGCAGCCTGTGGCTCTTCCGCCCTGTGAGCTCGCCCCGAACACCGAGGTCGCAGGCGTGGCTCCGTTGCTTCTAGCGGAGACGCGGGGCTAGGTTCCCGCGAGCCCCCCTCACATGTTCATCGACCGAGCGATACACACCCTTGTGTTACGTGTGTTTACTCTGTAGACACCGTAGTGAACATATATTCCTGGCTCGTTAACATTGAACTCAGGGCGAGC